AAAAAAAAAAAGTTCACTGAGAAAAGAACCCCTGTACTCAGAAAAAAAAAAAAATCAATTAAGATAATATTCTGATCATGTAAAACCTCACTGCTGTATCAGTTTATATTGGTGTCTAAAGATCTTACTTTCAGAAACAAACAAGCAAAACTAACAGTTGCCCAGAGTAAAGGTGCGTTCTACTAAGTAGGATAAACCTGAGTTTGAGCCCCCAGAACCCACATGCTGGAAGAAGAGAACTAACTCCTACAAGTTATCCTGAAACAATCCTGTCCCGCCCCTCCCCATCACAGTATACATGTGTGTGAACACACATGCATGCATAAAAGGTGTTAAAGAAAAAGAAGACAACAGCAATTCCTCCACTCCTTGCAGTTCCTGTACATGTCTTCTCATCTTCTTTCTACAACCCAAATACTGCCAAGAAAGCCAACACCACCCAATCTACTGCTGAACCAAGAACATGTTCAAATACGTAGTAACTTACCTGTCGAGTTTGGGGTTGTCTTGCCTTTCTCTTTGTTGTTCAAACCTCAATTTTAATCCTTTAAAAGTTTGCACATAATCTACATCTTCTAGTGCTTTCCAATAATTTTCAATTACATGGGCAGTTAATGATTTTATATCTTCCTACAGAAAGAATTGTAATGAAATAAATCAGATCCAAAAATACCACTTTAACAAGATAAAATGAGGCTTTACTGTAGTAATTTCTAAGACTCACCAAAAGTTTAATTTTATAAAGTTAGCATACAATTTTAAAAACAGTCAAACAACAAAAATGGGAACAGCATATGCTTGTTATACTGGCTCCTTCAATAGTCTTTTGGGGTATCTGGGAAATGTCCACAGGTGTTCCCAGATTGTATGTCCAAGCCCCACTCTAGTGATTCTGGTTCCCCAAGACTGGACACAGAGGCACACACCTGCAATCCCAACACTTATAAGGCTTGAGGCAGGAGAATGGTCATGAGACTGAGGCCAGCCTAAACTGTAGAGCAAGACCCACCCTAATCTCAAAAACATACTAAAGAACAGAAAAAGTCAAGTTCTGGAGATGGACTTCTGTGGCAGTTGTGCAGTAACATAAACATACTACCCTTAGAGGATATATTTTATAATAATGAAAATGACAAGCATGAGAAGTTCTGTATATCTTATCACAATTCTTTTTGTTTGAGACAGGGTCTGAGGAGTACTAGGATTACACACTGAGCCTCCACAGCCAGCATATTTATCACAGCTCTATAAAGCATGCCAGATAGTTTTGCACACCTATTATTTGGAGTTTTTTATTGGTCTAAATTCAATTACTCTTATGTTTTTGGTAGTATGGTTCTTAAAGAAAATCTTTCTCACACACTCTCAAGACAAAGACAGATACTCAAGTTTCTCAATTTAAAACCAAAATCCTAATATAAGAAGACAGAACCTACCACTCTAATAAATTCAAACATTTCTATTATGGCGGAGTTCATCAGATTGTAACGAGATCCATTGTTGAGAAATGCTTTGACTACAGGTTCAAATAAAAAACTTTTCATTATGTAGCGGTTATAAAATTCATCTTTTAATCCAATGATTTTTCTCTTAAATCGGAGGGCACCTGAAACACAGAGGTATTGCTGTTTAATGTTCTACATCTTGGGAGTCAACAAACATCAGAACTTATGAACAGACACAAGTATTCTCCATTCTTAACTGTGTGCAGGTATATGAACCTGAACACAGGGATCTTAAGAGTGCTGTAAGAAAAGGCATTCTCAAACAGTGTGTGCTGGTAGGTTGTGGAAGTCATGCCTATAATTCTAACACTTCGGAGGCTGAGGTGGGAGGACTGTCTAGAGTTCAAGGCCAATGGGGGCCATGTAGTGAGATCTAGGACACCCCTCCTCCCCACAACCACCACCACCACCAACAACAACAACAAAAAGGTAGTGTATGTTATCATAGAACACAAGTCTTAGAAAGCCAGAAAAGTTCTGGTAATACATCAATCACTATTGGCCAAAATGAAGTTTATAGCTAAGGTAAGGAATGAGATTACCATATTATTTAAGGGGACAATATTTTCATCATACCACTTTGAATACATTTTAAATCACCTAAAAAAAAGAAAGAAAAGAAAGAAAAAAAAAAGGCATTTTTTTTTTTTTTTTTAAAAAAAGGGCAATCCACTGTACTGTAATTTGATTTTCAAATTTTTGGATACTCTTACTATTTCATAGAGTTCATGGATTTATAATGGTTTATTTGTAGATGTGGTTAAAAAAGGACAACAAACCACAAAAATCTGCATGCCCCGAAAATTGCCTTCCCATGGTTTAGATATAAATTTAGGTTGTTTTAAAATTCGGTCCTCTACTCTCATTGTAGCGAGTATGCTTTTTAATGTTCCCTTTAATAATTAATTAGGCTTTAACTTACAGATTAGTAGATATATATTTGCATCTTGAGGTATGGGGAGTTACTTAAGTCACCATTCATCAAGATCCAAATATACTCAGACAGCTAGACTTCAGCAAAACCCTCTTTAACCTATATGGAATTATCAGTAAGTTAATGCCCCAATTACTGTAAACAGTTCAAAAAAGCATACTCACTTCACGCAGTCACATCGTCTTCGGTTGGCAAGATTAAATATTGTGTTTGTATTTTGGTTTCTTTGGAGATCATGGAAGTGGCTCGTTAAATTGCCAATTTGTTATTAATCAAGTCCTTCATGAGCAGGTAGCCAGGCAACCATGCTGACACGGTTTCTGGGTGGGAAGGCAGAGGAGTAAAGCAGCTCAATTTTTCTTTAGTTGGCACAAAGAGGTCCACAAGTGAATGCCCAATTAGGTACAGTTGGTTAGAAACTGCCTTAACAATCCAACTTATTTAAGAGTGTATCTTCATAAAGAAACACTCTGGGCAGGGAGTTTCAAAATAGTTTAAAGAGTATTAACTGCGTTTTATTTTTAATCTACTGAAAAAATGTAAAAACATAAGTATGGTGAAGACATTTTAAGCAGTAAGAGGCATTGTTCTGTGTGGGGAGTGAAGGCTGACAAGGGTTTATTTCTAAAACAGTGAATTCTCTTGGGTTGGCTGGCAAAAGAACTTAAGTGAGACCGTTCCACTTGTTTAGACAAAAATTAACACTTAAAAAGCTCATGCTAATTTGTAAATTTTAAACTTTCAAAAAGCAAGAACTATTATTCTAAGATTTGGTAATCTAACTCTGCAGGCTTTGTGGAGACTTGTGTCCTATCAAAACATCACATTAACCCCAATGCTACATATGCAATTCCTAGGTATGGGCAAAGAATCTACCACCTTCCCAGAATCCAGTGAGGCCAGGACATGCAGATGACACCCTTAACCCCTCCCTTAAAAGCACATCTTCCCAGAAAGTGCTGATCTAGATAGAAGGTAGGTCTAGGTGGTTTATTTATTTATTTTTTGGCCTTCCTCTCTTATATCCATTTGTCCTGATTTACATCAATAATTACTTCTGTTTAAAATCACCCCTGCCTCAAAAATATCCAAATACTATTATTCTTTGCTACTGAACAGCAAGTTGTTTTCCACATTTTATCAGTCAATTCTATAAAGTCCAGTCATTCAAAGGAGATTAGAGAAAGCTCCTAGTTATGCCCAATTGGCATAACCAAAGCATTTTCAACGTAATGTGCACTCTGGTTCCACTCACAACGGCACTAATCTTCACTATAACAGGCCAGGATTCTCTTGTGTTCAGTTTTAAAGACTTTTTTTTTTGTAGTACATGACACGAGATTTCATGGAGTAAGTCTGAGACTCATTACCACACGTGGAACTAATAATAGAAGCTTTGTAGCAAAATTCTGCCTGCCCCCCTTCTATTGATGCTGAGGATTGAAGCCAGGGCCTCCTGATGTTAGCATGCCAGGTAAGCACTCTACCACTGAGCTGCCTCTGACCCTACCCTACAATAAAGCTTTAAAAGAAAATCATTCTTTTTATGGAGTTCTGTTTCTGTTCTCCATTTACTATGTGTGGGAGGGGGAATGTTCGTGCCATGGCTCATATGTGGAGATTAGACAACAGCTTTTAGGAGTTTAGTCTTCTCCCACCATTGTAGGCTCAAGGGACCAAACTTAGCAGCAAGCCGCTTCTAACTACCAATCTATCTCCCCAGCCTCAATTCAACACTTTTTAAACAACAATACCTAGTCAACATAAAAGTACCCAAAGTCTTAAAAAGGCACAGTACATAGATGAATGGAACTTGTTATCTATCTTGTACTCATTTTAGAAAGGACTGTGGGTCTTACCTACAAACTTGCTTAGTTGTATTTAAAAATGATAAATACTAATTAAAAACAAACACATAAAATATAGAATTCCTGGGGCTGGAGAGAGGGCTCAAAAGTTAAGAGCACTGGTTGCTCTTCTGGAGGTCCTGAGCTCAATTCCCAGCAACCATATGCTGGCTCACAACAATCTATAACTACTGTCTTTTCTACTTACGTGTGTATTTAACTTATAAAATTCTTTCTGAAATAGTATACCTAACTTTTTATTTCAATGCATACTTTTCTCAGAAGAACCACAAATCTTTTGTTTGGAGAAAGGGTTTCTCCGTGTAGCTTTGTGTGTTCTGGAACTCACTCTGTAGACCAGGTTGGCCTTGAACTCAGAGATCCACCTGCCTCTGCCTCCTGAGTGCTGGGATTAAAGATGTGTGCCACCAATACCCAGCTTAAAGCCAGTCTTTATAAAAGGATTATTACTGATGACTGCTATTGTCAGAGATGCTCTAATCCCGAAGTCTGGGAATAGAGGCCCGCTGTGAATAGTTAGGTTTCAAAGTAACTTGTCCCCGTTATAAAATACATACAGAATATACCTAAGATAGAATAGCAGTTTCCAGTATGATCTTCATCATGTAAATCGATTCTCTATGCAGTTCTTACTGGATTACAATACTACAAGCAAAAAAGACAAAGGGAATGCCTAAACTTTTTTCTAGGCCTTTTCTTTTAGCTTCCATGTCCTGACATTTTCCACCTGGACTAAAGTTTCCCATCTATAGCAAAACACACTGCGTTCTATACTTACCATCTTAATTGCACATTCAATTAACAATGTCACTTTCTCTTATGAACAAGACAACTCAAGTTAACACCTCTGTGAAAACTTCCTAATCTGATTGACCTAGAACAAGTTGTTATTACTATGTTGCTCTAAGTACAGTTCTTTTTTTTTTTTTTTTTTTTTTTTTTGAGACAGGGGTTTCTCTGTGTAGCTTTGGTGCCTGTCCTAGATCTCGCTCTGTAGACCAGGCTGGCCTCGAACTCATAGAGATCCGCCTGCCTCTTCTAAGTACAGTTCTTATTAAGTTGGATTTTGATTTTCACATGACACTCTCCTAAAAACTATGAAAACAAAACTACTAATTATAAATGTCATGTCATTAACTCTAAGACTTACCTTAGTTTGAGAGGATAAATATATCAAGATGTGCATCTCAGATTCAATGAAATATAATTGTAGTTTGTGTTTAATCTCTTTTCTTTCTTTTTCCCCCCTGGAGACAGGTTCTCTTTATGTAGCTACTACTAGCCTTGAATTCACAGACATATTCTGTCTTTGGAATACCAGAGCTACAGGTGGAGTCACCATATCTGGCTATTTTCTTTGTTGAAATAAAACTATTTAAACTTATCTGTTTCATTTCCCAAACTCTTTTCCCCACATATATACAAAACTCTTTATGGTGACTTGAAAGAACTTGGCCTTGGTATTATCACCTCTCCTATGGTAAGTATATGGAGAAATGTTTTTATGTGTACTATGTTCTGCCTACATGTATGCCTATATACCATGTGTGTGCCTGGTACCCGGAGGCCAGAAGAGGGCATCAGATTGCCTCCTAACTGGAGAAAAGACAGTAATGAATTGTCACATGGGTGCTGGGAATCAAACTCGGGTTCTCTGGAAGACCATCCAGTGTTCTTAACCAGTGAGTCATCTTTCTAATCCCTTAAAGCCCTTCTTTGTATGTGCCAAGCTCACTGGTGGAAGATGATTTATTTGCTATAGTCTCATTAGTAATACAGAAGCTATAACTAAAGTAAAATTTAGTATTCTAAATTAGTGCAAAATGAATCCAATATTCTCTTCAGGTTGTAAAAAGACATATTCCAAACTCATGTATATATTACAAATGTGTCAAGTAAAGAAACATGACAAGTGGAAACTTAAATGAAACATGAAGCCTTAAAACAACAAAACCCAACTTACCTTTAAAAGCCAATTGGCAAGTTACTTGGCAGTAAGCATCTCAGCCACCAGTATCTCTAAATTTGGTCAGTCAACTGACCAATAACTACAGTTTAGATATGCAAACTCATTGCCTAAGAAGTCTGGCTACAAGATAAGATTTATTTATGTACTTTTTGTATATGAGTACTCTGTATGTATGTATGCACATCAGAAGAGGGCATCAGATTCCATTACAGATGGTTATGAGCCACCATGTGGGTGCTGGGAATTGAACTCAGGACCTCTGGAAGAGCATTCGGTGATCTTAACTGCTGAGCCATCTCTTAGGTCCAATAAATACCCCCCCCACACAGGTTTTCTCTGTAACAGCTCTGGCTGTCCTGGAATTGATTTGTAGATCGGTCTGGCCTTGAACTCACAGAGATCCTGCTATCTGCCTGTGATTAAAGGTATATACCACCACCGCCCAGATTAACCTACTTTTAATTTAAAAGTATGTTTTACTATAACAAAATGAGGTCTTAACACTGAATGTCAGCTTTAAAAAAAAAAAAAAAGTATAGGGGGGCTGGAGAGATGGCTCAGATGTTAAGAGCACTGACTGTTCTTCCAGAGGTCCTGAGTTCAATTCCCAGCAACCACATGGTGGCTCACAACCATCTATAATGAGATCTGGTGCCCTCTTCTGACGGGCAGGCAGAACATAATAAATAAACAAACAAACAAACAAACAAACGAAAGTATAACTAAGACTAATCTTAAAAAAAAAGAAGAATCTTGTTAAAACTTCCCTGCTTTTGGGCTAGGGATGTAGTGTAGTGGTCAAGGTATTGGGCTCAATTTCTAGCACCATGCACACAAACAAAAATTTCTATGTGTAAAGCTAGGAATGGTAGCTTACACCTGTAACCTCAGCACTCAGCTGAGGCATGAGGATTGCTGTGAGCTTAAAGCCAGTTTGGGTTGCAGAATGACTATTGATAAAAGAGATAAAACAATAAAAAACAAAACAAAAACCACACAGAAAGTAAAGAAAATTATCTGTAGCTATGAAACAGTTCCCTAACTTTCTCCATAAAGATCCACATGTACATATTTCAGGCTCTGTGAAATATATATAGTCTCTGTAGTATTGTCTGTTTAGTTTTTATTAAATCATCTTTCAGTTTGTTAAGTTGCACAAAAGATAGGCTGCTGGTAGTCTGGTTAAACTTACCACTTGAACTAGCAGATACCTTCTAGCCACTCCACTTTGTGTGAACACCTGCCAAACTACATCACAGGGAGCAGAGCTTGTATTAAGATCCTAGGTCCCCAACAACCCCCACCCCCAAGTCAGTATTATTCTCAGCAATGAGCTTTAAAGCTACGAACAGGATAATATAGAAAGATAATAAATAATTCTTTAAGAAGCACTTACATAATGCCAAGAAAGCATGCTTGGAGGCCATAAGAACTAGTACTCTGCGAAGGATGTCCTTGTTGATAATATAGTTCTTTATGTGGTAGGTATGGTGCTCCACACAAAATGTTAGCAACTCCAATACAAGTGCCAGTAACTGTGCAGTTTGAAAGTCATCTAGAATAAGCAAAGCATGATCAGATGTATGTCGAACAGACAATAAACAGTCTAAGAAATGACACCACACACCTTTCACCCTCGGTGTCACCTGTCTTCTTCCACTACTTCACTGGGCTCTGGGCTTTCTTCACTACTCACAGTGCACTCCTAACACAATTATCATTTCTGATAAATCCTTACTCTTTAAAGTCAGCAAGTCTCTCCTAAGTATTTTATTTTTCATTCCTATCACTTAGCCCCCTCAGAATATGGCATAATCCCTTCTACAAGGTCTTAGTAAATGCTGGGTGGCTTGAACGTGTGAATTTGGAAGCAGACCTCAAATTTTACCAAATACAAAGAAATATAGAAAGAAGCAAAAGGACATTTCAAAATTTGATTTCTAAGGTCACACAAGAGTTTATCTAAACACACCTTTAATCCTAGCACTGGAGAGGCAGAGGCCAGTGGATGTCTGTATGTTCAAGGCCAGCCTGGTCTACACAGTGAGTCAGGGCTATGTAAAAAAACTTTCTCAAGAAGAAAAAAAAGGTAAAAAGAACAAACATTTATTTAGTACATCAACACTACTACAGTTTCTACTAATGCCATGAATTATACTTACTATTAATAGAGTATGCTTTAAAATAAACATACTACATTGTGAATTTATAAGGGAAAATAAAGTATGGATTCCTAGATAGAGCTTCAATGGCAATTTCCCAAGGATGACTCTGAAACTACCCCTTAAATACACACACTTAAGCGCAAATTCTAAGGAATAAATTTTAATAGTTTGCCACGTACCATGGCACACACCTGTGACCCCAGTATTGCAGAGGCCAAAAAAGGAAGGTTCTAAGCTTGAGGCCAGCATAGATCCCATAGCATAAACAAAATCCAACATGAAAACAAATACTTTCTTTTTTTTTTTTGTTTTGTTTTTTGGTTTTTCAAGACAGGGTTTCTCTGTGTAGCTTTGCGCCTTTCCTGGAACTCACTTGGTAGCTCAGGCTGGCCTCGAACTCACAGGGATCTGCCTGCCTCTGCCTCCCGAGTGCTGGGATTAAAGGCATGCGCCACCACTGCTACAAATACTTTCTTTTATATGTTTTTGTTAACTGTGATTATCGTGCTCTTAAACAAATTTCACCTCAAAAATCTTTTGAAAATACATGGTTAAATCTCAAGCTACTAAAGATTGTTACTTCCTTCTTAGGGTGTATCCTGCTGCCCCTGCTTCTGTTCCTTCCTTCATAGACTTTCATTCACTTTATGTGCATTAGGGTGTTTTTTTGTTTGTTTGTTTTGTTTTTTTGCCTGCAAATAATTTTATGCACCATGCATGTGCAGTGCCCATGGGGGCCAGGAGAGAGTGGTAATGCCCTGGGACTGAGCCGCAGTGTGGGTCCTCTGGAAGAGCAGCCAGTGCTCTTAAGAGCTCAGTTCTCTCTCTAGCCCCAATATTTTAAATCTAGACTCTACTCAACACCAGCTTTTTGAGTTTGACAATTCAAGAAAGCTACGAACCTGTATTATCTTACCTTTACTAGGCTTGTCTTCTGTTGTATTTGCTAGTAAGGGAGCAGTGAGAACATGCATACAGTGCTTGTAGAAGAAACCCAGAAATTCAGTCTTTTCTGTTTTCTAAGGAATCAAAAATACTTAGATGAACTTAAACTGTACTGGTTTCTACCAGCAATAGAAAACATACTGCTATGAGAAAGAAGCAATAGCCATGGCTTACATTGGCAGTGGCTAGCATGTTCTCTGGGTCAACTAAAGTTCGAAGCAGGCCCATAAGTTGGACTGCTCCTCCAAGCTCAGGATCTGTATCACAAATCATATGTTCTATAATGAGGTTGATGAGCAAAATATCCTGGTGATAAAAATACACATAATACAGATTACTAAGACACATTATAGCATTACAACTAAATCTAGTTGTCTTGTTAACGTCAAACAAACTAGAATGACTATTCTATTTAACAGGGTAGATGGAAATGTTTCTTTCCCCTAAGGGATGGTACAGACATTAAATAGTACCAAACAACAACAACAACAACATAATTAAGTTTCTTTTCCTATTATTTCTTTTTTCTCTTTTAAGACAGGGTCTCACTATGTAGCTCTGGCTGCCCTGGAACTCACAGGCTGCTACCCACTCTCCAACTCAGAGAACTGCCTCCCAAGTGCATTTACCTCCCAAGTGCTGGGATTAAAGGCGTGTGCCACTACCTCTGGACTTTTCTATTATCTTTAAACTTGTCTGATTAAAGGAAAAAAAATCATAAAGGTCAGACGGTGTTAAAACATGTTTTGCTTCTCTAATAACTTCATCTACTATCTGCAGAAAGCTCATGGACTTTACACTCATGTCTTCAAACTAAGAATACTTGGAATTTATAAAGCTGCTTTGCTTTCATTGCATTTACTTTTAGTTTTCTTTTATGTTTGACATAATAGCAGTTTTCCATTTGTGGAAATGATAAATTGAGTAAAGTAGAGACTGGAGTGTACACAACAGTAATATATTATGTGGATTTCAAATGTCCAAGAAAACCAAAATTCTGGTTTTCCTAAGGACCTTTTAGGGCTGCTGTTTTTGGCCCAGAGGATAAATAAAAACTGAGGGATACAGTGAGCAAACTCCTTCTGCTTGTCTATGTATGCAGTGGTAAGACAGACAAGGACAAAGAAAATGCAGACACTACATGGAAATGATTGGCAAGTGAAATCCAGAGGCCTAATGCATGTTCATGGAGTGTGAAGATGCACAGGCATATCTGCTCACCAGTGGTTACAGGGCCTACAAGAACAGCCTTTAGTTTTAATTACTCAAGATATTCAGGTTCTCAAGATAGGACTATTTCATAGAAGAAAAATGTGATTATGATTCAATAATTCATGGTACATTTCTGCACGTAATCTAGCAAGATAATTTTAAAAACAAACCACAAATAAAGACATTACTAGGGATTTAACTTCAAACTAGGAGTATATTTTTTTAAAAGTAACAAAAACTATGTTTCATTTTGTAACACTGCAAGCTGAAATTCTGCAAATTCCCCTCACCCAAAGGAGACATAAATTTCCTCTTCTCAAGGAATTCAAGATAGCTTATCTTTTTTTTTTGTTTGTTTGTCTTTCAAGACAGGGTTTCTCTGTGTAGTTTTGGTGCCTGTCCTGGGTCTCGATCTGTAGATCTCACAGAGATCCGACTAGGATTAAAGGTTTGTGCCACAGCCGCCTGGTGGCTTATCTATTCTTATGTAAAAAGTGGCTTCCAAAAAATTAGGAGAAAGGAGAAACAAAACAAAACAAAACAAAACAAAACAAAACAAAACCAGAACCATTGCTTTAGTAAAACAAAGTAGAAGAGTACATACAATCAGGGCTTCTATACACATTGTGTACCACAAAATTCAATCTACACCACCAAGACAGTCTAAGATTTTTTTGAAGTCCGTTTGCCTATTCTAATTTCTAATTAAATACCAGCACAGTTTCTCTAAGTGTCCAGGACAATAACTTGTTTTTACTGTTATAAGGAAACACTTCCTACTACATGTCAGGGGCTATATTTTATCTTTATTCTTGATTCTGAGAACCACCTATAGCAGTGTAAGTGCTTTCCAATGCAAGTTAGTCACAGTTCTACAGACAGACGGGTCAACTGATTTCAGGGTTTAAATAAGACAATATAGCCACGTCAGCTTCATAATTTAAAAAGTTGACATCAAATACAATAAATTTATAAACTAAGGCAGGAGCAAATTAAGGGGAAGAATGTGAGCCATTTGACACTGGCTACACTTCCCCAAGAGCAGTAGTTTAAATCTTAAAAATATATAACCCCAGCTATAGGCTCCTATGCATAAATACTTACTATTAGTGTAAATAATATTTACCTTGCTGGTTATTTTTTGCTCTGTTAACTTCTTACTTACATCATCATTCTGTTGTGCCTCCTGCATGACAAACTCTCGTACCATGGATGGATTATATTCAACCAAGTATGAGAATATATCAGTAGCAGCACTTCGCACCTGTGTATCATCCATACCCTACAGAGAAAAAGTACCATTCTCTTACAATCATAAAAATGTGGAACTTCATCAATGAAATTATCTAAAACCTGACAAAAGAAATTGTCATAAAGCACTGCAACATAAAAGAAACATCAAAATGGTTGCTGGGGGGAGCTATTTTCCTGGTGGTATAGCCTCTGAAAAGTCGTTCAATGCTCCAGCAAACAACAACTTATCTACACTCACTTACATAAGCAACCCTAATTAAAAAGGAAGGAAAGAAGAAGGGAGGGAGGGATGGAGGGAGGGAGACATGAAAATAAGAGAGATAGTAGTAGGTTAGTGGTGATGCACTCATTTAATCCTGGCACTATGGAGGAAGAAGCAAGCAGGTAGATCTGAGTTTGAGGCCAGCCTGGGCTACAGAGTGAGGTTCAGGAAAGGCAGAAAGCTACAGAGACACCCTGTCTCAAAAACCAAAAAGGATGGGGGACCATGATCACAATACACTGTATAAAATAATCAGATTTTTAACAATTTATCTAAGGGCTAGGGAGATTGCTCAGTGGATAGAGCACTTACCAAAAAAGCCTAAAAACCTGAGTTTAAATCCCAAGAGGAACCCATGCAAAGCCAGGGATGATAGTGTCCACATGTGTTACCCCAATGTTTCTATGGCAAGATGAGAGATGAAGACAGGAGAATCTATGAAAGCACCTAACCTAGCTAACATGCAGTATATAACAACAAAAAAAAGCAAGAGACCCTCAATCAAACAGAATGGAAGGCAAGGATTGATACCCAAGTAGTGCAATGACCTCTACATGCTCAGTGGCTTGTGACCATACTTACCGCCACAAACCAACTTCATGAAGGAAGGCAGCACACACAGTAATGTCAAAGGACAAATCTTAGAGGAGGCAAGGTCTTCCTTGTGTCTGCAGCAGTGCTGCATACTCAGGCTAGCTGTCCTGAGAGTTTCTGGACACATCTGTCTCAGACTCCAACCTTACCATGAGTTCTAGTATTACAGAATTCTCTCACCCTTCCTCCATAATATAAAAATGATACCACATTCAGCTTTTGACACGGGTATCATTTTTACCAGCTGACCCACTCCCCAGTCTCCTTAAGACATATTTAAAAACTTTTTTGGGGTGTGTGTATGTTTGGTTTTTTTTTGTGTGTGTAACAGGGTTTCTCTGTATAGCTCTGGCTGTACTGGAACTCACTCTGTAGATTAGGCTGGCCTCCCCTGTCTCTCTAGTGCTGGGATTAATTTTATATTATTTGAGTGTGTGTGTATACATATAAAAAATAATATTATTAATATTAACAACAACAACAATATATAATTTTAAGACAGGCAATCTTTGTGTAGCCCTGGGGAACTTTTTTGTTTTTAAAAAATTAAAAAACAAAAAAAAAAGCTGGGTGGTGGTGGTAGTGGCGGCAGTGGCGCCTTTAATCTCAGCACTCGGGAGGCAGGTGGGTCTCTGTGAGTTTGAGGCCAGCCTGCTCTACAAAATTCCAGACAGCCAAGGCTACATAAAAAAAAGGGGGGGTGGGGGAAGGAGGGAGGGAGGAGGAAAGGGGGGGAGAGAGAGAGAGAGAGAGAGAGAGAGAGAGAGAGAGAGAGAGAGAGAGAGAGAGACTGAGAAAGAATAAGCGGGTACCTGGGAAGGAGGAAAGGGAAAAGTGATATAATTGCAAACACTAAAATTGTCCAACACCACATCCAGTTTTGATCTGGTTTCATATGGGTAGTTCAGAATGGAGAGAAGCAAACTTACAAGGATGACTTCTAAAGCTGGTAATATGCCCATGTTTGACAAAGTCTTGAAAAAAGCATCTCTGTTTTGGGGTTGTAGCGTTTGAGAAAATGCACAAAATTCTTTTAAAAAGTTAACCTAAAGTCCGGAAAAAGAACAAATATTAAAAAGGTAATCTCAAATTAGAAAAGCTGTAAGTGAGTGTAAAAGGTTGTTTTACTTCTTTGCCCTCCTAGTATTTGATTTCTTACCAATTCTTGTCTTTTTTCCTCATCTGTTGCCTCATCTGTTAGTTGTGCAAACAAATCTGTCAGAAATTTTTCATCTTCCTATGAAATAAAAAATTTAGGCATCTTACTGAAGACTGTATAAAATATAATTTCAGCATTCTATAAACTAGCTTGATGAAAGATGTCAAAAAAATTTTAAAAAAGAAAAAAAACCCAAACTATTGAAAGACACACAAAGACACACACACAGCCAAACGTGGGGGGCCAAATGTGGGGGGCACACATCTTTATTCCCAGAACTAGGAAGGCAGAGGCAGGTGGATCTCTGAGTTCTTGGCCAGCCTGGTCTACAGAGTGAGACCATAACAAAATAAAACAAAGACAAACTGGAGAGACTTCTATCAGAAAGATTACTTTTGTGTTTTGACAACACTCTTTTCCTAACCCCACTTTAGGGCCAGGAAGTAAGTGTTTCAACTCTGCAGGCCAGTGGTTTCCCATGTTCTACTACTGCAGGAGAGCGGTCAGACAGTATGTCAATGAATATAGCTGTGCTGCACTGAAACTTAATAAACACAAGAACAGCCAAGTCTGGCCTAGTGGTCAATGCTAAAAAATCACAACAATGGGGAGGCAAAGGGAGAAGGGTGGAGAGTTAGAGCCAGAGTTTGCCAAGCTCAGTTTACATGAACTAACGGTAGAAATTAAGGTTCTACAACCTCTCTCCAGTAAGGATAAAAACGAAACATTCTTCAGGCTTCAAAGGTATAGAAAAAGGATTCGAGTTTTTAAAATATTAAAATTAGAGATCTTAAAGAACTATCTATTATTTGAAGATACCCATTACATAAATACTCCTTAACACACTAAATTATTTTGAAATAATTATTTAACACATTAATTTTGAAAAGGCCTCAAAGGATTCTATCACAGAATCAGTGAGTAAGTAACAAGCCATATAGATCCTTCCTGGTACCCACTGAATTTTCTTCATTATAATTTCTCAACAAGATTTTGTTAATAATTTCAATCTATTTACTTAGGTAGGTAAAGTGTAAATTCATGCAGACTACAGTGTAAGTTTTTAAGAAATTACATTTATCTATATATTAGGAATGAGGGGAGCAGTGTGCCACAGAACACATATGAAGGTCAGAAAATAACTTTTTGGAAGTTGGTTCTCTCCTTCTAACATTGAGCCATCTTAATGGTCCTATGAAGTAAGCTTTATATGGTGTGTGTGTGTGGGGGGGGTAGGTGTTTAGGAAACATTTTCTATACAACACTCAATTATAATGCTGGTTATTTCTTCTAAAATGTATAAAGAGGCATAAATACATATGATTCTGACATTTTCTTTTTTAAAAAATTAATGGCATCCAATTTCAACATACATCCCAGATTAGTATAAGAGCATTTAATAATTTTACAGAGGAACCAGTCAATGATATAAAGTGTGTAATTTTGTATGTGTACATGTAAAAGGTTGGTAGGGAAAATATACCATAGGGGCTGGAGGAAAGCTAAGTGTTTAAGAGAGCTTACTGTGCAACCATGAGAACAGTTCAGATCCCAGCACCTAGAGAACAAGCTGGGCATGGTCCCATATACACCATCAGCATCCACTGAGTGGGGTTGGAAACAGGGAAAAACAAGGACACATGGCAACGTATAAGTCTAGATAGAAGCTCTGCCTCAAAAGAATAAGGCAGCAAGTAACAGGGCACCCCGAGTCCTCCACTGGCCTTTATGTGTACAAAAGGTGTCTGTACCTGAAAACACAGATACAGATATCACACCCACACAAAACAGAAAAATTCTATTTCAGTTAGAACAGACTAACATTTTGTCAAACACTATGTAGCATAGTTCACATTCAAATCAAGCATTAATAGACTAACATTTTGTCAAATACTATGTAGCATAGTTCAATTTCCAATCCAGCATTAATAGACATTCCTTTTGAAAGCTCCTAAGTTTTACCAAACGTTCAACACTTCAGTGTATGGTTTCACTTGCTCTTCACACTTCATAGTATCCTATGATATTAATGATTCCTCAGATTCAAATCACATAGTAGCTATTAAATAACCAAGTAAAGCCTAAACTCAATACTCTCAACTACTTCAAAAACATCCTTTTGGAAGGTACACATGCAGATGTGGTTACAGGTACGTGATGTGGGTACCAGGACCAAATGCCAGTTCTCTGGAAGAACAGCACATGCTCTTATGTCTGTCTCCAGCTCCATCGATTACTTTATTAGTGTTATTCACCTAAAGTTGTTCTTCTTAGACACCACCCATTCCCTTTGCAATTTGTGAGATCTGAGACTAAGTCTAGACCTCCATCATGCTAACCAAGTGCCATCACTCTTGCCATCCCCACCCAGAATGCAACAACCTTCAGGTATCAAGAGCATTATTTATCATAATATAAATTAATATCAAAATATTTACCATATCACAAGATCAAGTTCCAATGTAAGGATTTAAAAAATTATTATTTTTGCTTACAGCAATTAGCATTTTAAATGTTATCAATCAAGCTGGCACCTTTTATAAGTTGGGGGCAGGACGGATGGGGACAAGGGATGGAGAATGACCTAACTTACCTGTAACATACCAACAATTTCTACTTTGTTGAAGAAGATAAAGGAGTGAAGTGTTGATAACATGTTTTCTTCAAAGACTGAAGGGGTAGGGAGAACCATATCTTGTATATACTGAACTCTGTATGTCTGATGAATTTTTTGTTTCAGCTCAGGATCTGATATGGGAATCACTTCTTTAAACTTGGCTGTTTTTGTTAAAAACTCCCTGTGTTTTCGTGGTTGTGATAAAGTTGGGTCATATTCCAAGCATCCAATGACGTCCATTATACATTCCTCAGAGAACATAACCTCAAAAAGAGCAGTTCGGTTCAAGAGGAAGATCCCTTTGATAATCTCATATAAGTGGTGCAGTCCTTCAATATTTTCCAAATCTTCACACACATGAAAAAGCTCTAAAAGCTTTTTAATATAACCCTCATTTTCCAATGCTAGTGCGAGTTTCTCACGGCGAAGCGGGGATGGTAAAGATGATGCCACAAGCTCTGCAATTTCCTCCAGTCGACTTAATTCACAAGATGGCAATTCTAAACCCGGTGAGGACATATCATCAAACCGCTCCTCTTCAGATTCATCTACCAGGTCCTGAGTGATGTCCACTGAAGGGTCCTTTCCTTGAACCTGTAAAAAAAGATTTTGTGGTAGCTGACAAAATTCAAACAGCAAATCTCAACTATAGCCTTAGATGGAGAAGGGGAAAAAAAAAGATGTAATGACAAATACCAAGTTTTAAGACTCTTGTCAAACTTGAGACAACTGTCTACCATGCTGTAACTATCCAAATGATGTTTCCAGGTTTATGCAAACTAATCAAAAGTTGAGGAACTGAGTAAACACTCTTCTGAAGTACAAGTGTCAGGAGCAACTCCCTAGGACAGTCTAAACAGACTGTCAAGAGTCACTTCAAGACCTACAATGCAGAGGACCAAATACATCAGTCTTCTGTCCATGACCATCTTTTCTAACCAGGGAAAGTCCACAGAAAAATTTCTAGAACTGTGTCATATATTGGATAGTACCAAGCTCTTCAATATTTAATAAGATTCAAATGAATATCAAATATCATAATGCTACTATGGTCATAATGAATACACATAATTCTAAGACCAAAAGGAAAAACATCTAATGTCAATCAATCCCAAAGACGAAGGGCAAACTAGCTTTGAACCAAAGTGGATCAATGGTCTGTTATAAATGCTCAGTAGTATAGTCCTATGATTAAGAAAAGTTAATCAGGCCGGGTGGTGGTGGTGCACGCCTTTAATCCCAGCACTCGGGAGGCAGAGCCAGGTGGATCTCTGTGAGTTTGAGGCCAGCCTGGACTACCAAGTGAGTCCCAGGA